GCAAAACAAAAGAGAAGGGGAAAAGTGTGACAAAGGAGTCAATGAACATAGGGGTGAGGATTGCTTGGTTTAAGAAAATGAGGTGATATTGGCATCTTTTGCATATCTTCAGAGTGTTTTCGGTTTACAGAACTTGTGCTGAAACGTTCCTTGTTGATAATTATGAGCTAACTGAATGAGTCCAATGCTACAAGATGCTTTTCGTTACATATAATCACTGTATCCTACATCAATTTAATTTAAATGCCTGACAGACTTGATGCAGTTGATAGTAACATTCATTTTTAGCTTGTGCATTCTTTCCTTTGTTGGAAGAAAAGCATGTATATTTCTAGCTAAAAAGAATAATTTCTTGAAATCTTACACTGAATTTTAAGGTAAACGTGAGGCGGAAACTGCCTAAAAGTTGTTCAGAGTTGCTTAGGGGTTTGTCAGAATACACAGATACAGAGACGAAAAGCGTCTTCGGGTGCTAGTAAGAAAGGTTTTCAAGTAAGTTGTGGCAATGACATGATGTTTAATTCTCAAACAGAGTGAAGTTATATGGCCTTTAGATGCTTAGGAATTGTAAACATGCTAGTCTTTAATTGTTTTTCAGCAATAGCCCAGTTGAATGATTTGCCTGCAAGTTTAACTTAAATTCATCCTAATGGATTGAGCTTGCCACTATGCTGATTGTTCTTAGGGCTGCTGGGTGAGCACACTTACTTTTAGAGGTGGTTTGATCTACCTGAACTGAACTCCAGAAATAATTTAATCTGATACAAAACATCTACATCTTGAATAAGTGTCTTTAAAACAGGAAAAAAAAAAAGCCATTTAAGACATTGAAATCATAGTAGAGTTTGAATTACCAACTTAAAAATGGGCCAAATTCATGGAGGTTAGTTTAGGCAGATGTCTGGCATCCTAGAGAACTAGTACTCCAAGGAAGAGTAGTTTGTGTTCTTGCTACTGTCGGTCTGCATTTTTTAGGGATAAGCTACTTTATATTTAGATGTCAAAAGATGATGATGAATTGGTGCTGTTGTCACCAACATTGTCTGCTTTTACATTGGCACTAATGGAAACGATACGAGCAATCTCCTTCTGCACATCTGTCAGCATCTTCTCTGTAGGCTTCTGCATCTAATGACCAATGAGAGACAGATTAGTGTAGAGAAAATGCATCCTAGTGTTTCCACATTTCCAAGAACCTAATCTGGGATTACTCTTTCTTCCTCCCTGTGATAACTGTCAAAAGACCAAGAAAGTCCTTTTGGTCATGATTTTCTGAAGCAGAGGAGACCATGTTAGATCTGTTTTTCATACCTGATTGTGGGTGAAACCCAGGTCAAAGCAAGAAAGGGAATAATGTCTGACAAAAAAAACATTGTTAACTCACCTTCCTCTCTGGGTACTTGTAAGCTGCCCTTCTGCTCCCAGGTTGAACAGGCTACCTGAGTTGCAGGAGGATGTTCTGTGTGAAAGCCATTTACCAGGGTGAGCTCTTCTGACTGTTTGAGATTGCTGGAAAGAAAAAGGCAGTGGCTTTTGGTATGTGACATGAATTTAATGATGAAACTATTTCCTGGCTTCCAAGACTCAAATCAGTGAGGCGCAAAGTGGCCAGCTAGAGAGGACTAGCCAAGAATCCCTCAGTTTAAGTGTGGGGTGGGAGAGAAGCAAAGCCATGTTGTCAGCATATTTCATTGGAGTACTTATGACTCTGGATGTGAGGTGGTGTAAGAGAGATCAGGATCTGGCCTTTTCAGCATTGACTGCTATATGCGGTTGGGAGGTACTCGTGTTTGGCTGGTAATGGTATGGATGAGGCTGTTGTAGACGCCAGCAGATATAAGAAAGGTTCGTGTTAGCTTCAAGCTCCGCTGGGAATACAGGGTCAAAAATCACTGCTTGCTCAGTGGGAAAGAGCAAAGCTAGTAGGGTAAGAGATGCTATTTTTAAGTTTCCAAAAATACTGAAGCAAATTCTTAAAATCCTTGGGAATATGCCTTTGGCAAGCAAAAATTAAGTTACCTTAATTCTTAAGGTTGATCCAGAATTAATTTTCTTTAAAAAAAAAAAACCAAAACCCACCCAAGCAACCTGTCCAAATAAACATCTCCATTTTTTGTTAGCAGAGTCTGCATTTAGGTTAGCATTAAATCCGACCACCTTTAAAAGATGGGAAAAAATAAAGATCCAAGTTAATTATATGATTAAATAGGGAAATTTTCCATTTTGGTAGTGTTCTGTTAAATAACACTTAGCTACAATGATAGGCCTTAGCACATCTGGTCTGAAAAACACAGGAAGAGGAAATACATTGTTTATCAGGCTAAATATAGTTGGATTGGACATCTTCTTTAAGTAGAATGGTCAGAGATGGTGGCTGATGTATACTAGGCCAGATTTTCAGTTGCTGTAAATATTACAGTTCCATGTGTTCCAGTGGTTATAATAGTATTTACAGCCCATTGAGGAATATCATCTCTTCGCAGAATATAAAATTTAAATTAAACCATGTGCTGTGGGTCAGCTAATGAGAGATGCAAAGTACCCACATTTCCTTTGGGCTACATGCGCATTGTAAGCCTTTCAGTTGTGCCAAGGATGAGAAAAATCTGGGTGGTTTCAGCCTGAAGACAGCAGTTGTATGCATTCATTATTGCTTATGATCTGTCTGTTATTTCTGTTTGAACAAACAGAGTCCATTAATTACCAGTTTATTTCATGTTTACAGCATGTGTATATTTGCACTGCATACTGGGAGAGAGGGAAACTCCTTCTGGAGGCCTCCCGCGTCAGGACTGACAGGAGAAGCATTGGAAAGAGCTGTCAGCGTGCTGGTCTGTTTTATCTGTGAATTGTGGTCGTGGCTGGTGGGAACTCAAAGCTACTGGTAACAGCGGTTTAGCCTAGATTCATCTCATCTAACCTTAGGCTGCTCCTTACCTAGGTGCCCAAGGCACACTATGTAGTCACCTGAGATAAACAGAGATTGCCTGGCAGGTGGAGGGGATACAGTGCCTTCTCATTCTACCAGTTACATATAGGAAACTTCCTGAACCTCAGCAAGTGTCTTAATTCATGATGAATCTGAGCATCACTGTGCTCATCAGCAGTGTGCCCCTGCAGCCTGGCTCCCTCTTGTAGCTTACGCACACCTGCGAGGTGTTTTGGAAGCCACTTGGACTGAGCTACATTGACAGTGGGGAGAGAAGGGGCAAGAAAGTGTGTCTGCCTGGGGAGAGTGTCCATGTGGGGTTTTGTTGATCTCCCTGCTCGGTGAAGAACTGTGTGTAGATGAGCCTGTGGTATGTTTTCTGTATTTCTGTGGAGCTTCACCTCTTAGGTTTGCGCTAGTTCGAGCCAGGCTTCAGTGATTGTCAATGACAGGGAGATGAAGAAACTCTTTGATCTTGCTCAGATCTTACCTCTAGGTAGCTGGTTTGTTCTTAGTCTTCGTTGGGAGCACTGTTTCAGAATTCAGCTGTGAGCATCAGTTCCTTTAGAGCTAAGGTAGAGCTTTCCTCTTCATCTGCTGCCAGGGGTACCTGACCTGATGATGCTAGTTACTGCTGTCTCTGGAATTCAGCTAAAGAGAGAATAAAGATAATCCTGTGCCAGAGTGGAGAGGGAGAAGGGCTAAAAGAAAGCAAGCAGTGTCACAACCGGGTGGGGCATCCAGCGTCACTGTATCGTGCTGCTTCATGGCATGTTTTGCTCTTACTTCTGAGTACAATGAAAGAGCATGGTTCCATCTTAAACAGTGCTGTCTTCCCAGTCTCAGTCTCTTAATGATCCCAAGGTTAGTGTTTTTTGTAAAAAGAAAGTTAGACCTATTCCTTCCTGGAGGTTTGAATGAACTAACAGAGTTCTGGTTTGTAAGAAGTGGAAAGAAGGGAAAATGCAGAAGCTTGAAGGCTCTTGACTTTTGCTTGCCCTGCAGAATTCACTTACCTAGAAGTTGTTAAGCAAAACAAGTTTTACTCTTGCTGTTCTGACAGAACAAGTATTGCAATCACTCATTTTTAGCACATAGAAGTCTCTGCTTTGTTCTGAAAGCAAAGGAGAGGAAAGATATCTAGTACCTCATGATTAGAATTTAGTGGATTATCTCCAATACGCTATAGTAAATGAGGCCATTCCCTTTTTAACCTTGTCCAGTACCATTTTAAAAACTGCATTTTCATGACATTATATGCAATATGGTGTCTGGCTGTAACTTTGATTATTGGGAAGGAGACTCCTGCAATGTCTGCACAAGACATGAAATAATTTTTCTAATGCATGATTTGCTGATTTTGGGCAAAAGCCTATTTTCTTCCTGCTTGCCAAGGAACTCTTGAGGCAGGCAAATGCACTCCCTTCTCCTCTACAGAGCAGAGAAAGCATTTCTGGAGCCCATACAAAGTGATTCATGGCCTTATGCAGTCCCCATAGGCCAGAAAGCCCAAAGATGCAGACACTCTCTTCCTCCTCCGTTTTCCTCTGAAATGAGAGCACAGCAGTAACTCTGACAACTAGT